ATGAAAAGTATATTTATTTATATGTTGTGTTTTTCTTTTAGCTTTGATGAAAAAGAATTGAAATAAATACTGACTAGTAGAAAGCATGGATAGTTGGTTAAAAAAATCTGAGTTGAGTATTGAAGAAATAGAGACTTCAACCAAGATTCTACAGTGGTATTTTAGGTCTGCCTGTACCTAAATTGAATGGAAGAGCAGGTACACTCAGGGACACATTGAGGTGAGGGATTGATGGGCTTTGGATTCAGACTTTGGTTTGAATCCTAATGGAGGGAGCAGATTGAAAGGATTGGGCCAACCCATTCCAGGATTGGGACACCTTTCCTTATGGTGGAGACACACACAGCTATGCTAATTATCATGGATGTTCTCACTTGGCACCAGTGAATTTCCTGTTGGTTGAGATTCTGTTATGGCTGTGTTTAATAATGCCGAGGAGTTCTGCTTTCTCCTTTTCTGTCTCTCTATCCTAGGCCTAGAATGTTTTGTGGTTCTTCAGAATTTCCTAGTAAATTATATATGTTGTAATCTATTGTACTTATCACTGTTTACTAATATTGGTGATAGAATAATTAATAGGCTCCCAGTTGAAATCTGCTATGATAATGTAGTGATGTGTTCTCAGAAATATAAAAGAATATTTACAGCAGTATAGCTAAGATAGCTAGTAAAATTCATGTCAGAGGATAATAAGGATTTGAAGATTTCCTGCACATTTGTTTTGCCTGAGTTCTTTCTTGTCCTTAAAATTTAGATTTGCCTCTACTCTACCTGTTATGCTTTCTTTCTCATGCAAAAGTAAATTTAGTGGGATATGGTAATATAATCTCAAGTTAAAGTTTTTTTATCTTTGTTTTTCATATCCTCCTTTGTCTCATTCATCTTACCTGTTTTGATTTTATTCTTCATCTTAGTAGTAGGTCTTTCTTTGTAGCTTTTCATATCAGAATTATAACATTTGTATCTGGAATAAGCATAAGCAATGTAGTCCTGGACTTTCCTCAGAACCACCTCTGCAAGTTAAACTCTGCTCGTGCCATCAAGTTCATAGTTTTCAGCAATTCACTATGTGAATTGCACAGGTTTATCTTATTAATCTAGAAGTCTGTGCAGCTCTTGCTATTTAATAGAAAGTCCTAGCTACTATCATTCACTTTACTTTTTCTTTCTGCTATCATTGCAGTATAAACAACTTAGCACGATTTCTTAAGGAGGAGTGCATGTTTCTCCTTTTGCTCTTGTTTAGACTCCCTTCTCCTTAGCCATGTGTGAAGCCTGAGATGAGCTCAAATATCTTCTCTTTTCTGCAGCCATTCTCCCTCTCTCTCCCCATTTCTTGCTCTTTCTTCTGTCTCTCTCTCCCTCCCTCTTTTCTTTCTTCCCATGCCCAGCTCCAAAGATTTCTTCCCATGCCCTCCAAGATCAATGGTGCTGTGATGTCGCATGTATACTACTTGTATGGTTGTTCTTCACAAAGCCTAGGAGCTCCTTGAAGATGAAATTATTGACTTAAAGATTTAGTAGATACTCAATAAACACCTGTTGAATTGAATTCAGAAATCCTTTGCCTTTTATAAAGCACTGTCAGATTCTGATTACAAAGTGACTGACTTGTTCTGCATTGGTAAACCAGAACTAGTGTTCCTGTTTGCTTAAGAACTTCAGATATTCATGGTAGAGGCTTTGTTCTGTGAAGTGAAGGGTAGTTTAAGTTTGGATTGGTGCAGTTTTGATAAAATTGATTACCCTTTTAATATTTTTTCATTACTATAATGATTAGGTTGCTTTGGGTTGCAGTTAACAGAAATTACAACACAAATGGGCGTGAATAATTTTTTTTCTTTTTTCTTTTCTCTTTTTTCTTTTTTTTTTTTCTTTTTTTTTTGAGATGGAGTTTCGCTCTTGTTACCCAGGGTGGAGTGCAATGGCGTGATCTTGGCTCACCGCAACCTCCGCCTCCTGGGTTCAGGGAATTCTCCTGCCTCAGCCTCCTGAGTAGCTGGGATTACAGGCATGCGCCACCATGCCCAGCTAATTTTTTGTATTAGTAGTGACGGGGTTTCACCATGTTGACCAGGACGGTCTCGATCTCTTGACCTCATGATCCACCCGCCTCGGCCTCCCAAAGTGCTGGGATTACAGGCTTGAGCCACCGCGCCTGGCCTATTTTTTATTTTTTTAAGACAGGGTTTCATCATGTTGGTCAGGCTGGTCTTGAACTCCCGACCTCAGGTGATCCGCCTGCCTTGGCCTCCAAAGTGCTTGGATTACAGGCGTGAACCACCACGCCCGGCCAATGGGCATGAATAACAAGGAAATACATGATTTTATGTAAGAGGAAGTTCAGAGGTAGGTAGACTCCACGCTTGATTGGTTCAGGGGCTCCATTGATGAGATCAAGGACCCAGTTCTTCATTTCCTTTGCTAGCTCTGTTGCCATCATTGTTGGCTTCTTTCTTGGGCTGATAGCACAATGACTACTGCATTACCAGAAAACTCATCACAAAAAGATCTCCAGAGGAATTTAAAAAATAATGATTTTTTTTTTTTTTTTTTTTTTTTGAGACGGAGTTTCACTCTTGTTACCCAGGGTGGAGTGCAATGGCGTGATCTCGGCTCACCACAACCTCCGCCTCCTGGGCTCAGGCAATTCTCCTGCCTCAGCCTCCTAAGTAGCTGGGATTACAGGCACGCGCCACCACGCCCAGCTAGTTTTTTGTATTTTTAGTAGAGACGGGGTTTCACCATGTTGACCAGGATGGTCTCGATCTCTCGACCTCGTGATCTACCCACCTCAGCCTCCCAAAGTGCTGGGATTACAGGCTTGAGCCACCGCGCCCGGCTGAAAAAATAATGATTTTTGTAGTTTTTTTTCCTTGGAATGAAAAGCACTTTCTTTAGAAGCTCCCCAGCAGACTTCTCAATCAATGTTTTGCTAATTGGCTAATGTTGTATGCTTATTTGTGGATCAATCACTGACAGAGGAAAATGGGATTATGAACCAGTGGTAGGCACATGACTGTGGGTAGATGGAAAGCAGAACAAAATCAAGTTTCATTCTGGAAAGGAGAAGGGAGCAGACATGTAGGTGGTAGCCACCAGTGTCCTACTAAACTTGACATTTGTCATCATTTTGTGATCAGTAATAAGGGTGAACAAAAAACTAAAAAAGATAACAATAAGGATGATAACAGTAGTTAGCATTTGTTGAGCATTTGCCATGGTCAGGTACTGTGCTGAGTACTTTTTACGTAATGATTCTCATTTTCAAATAAATCTGAAGTTCAGAGAGGTCAAATAGTGCCAGAATGCCTGAGGAATATAAAATGTCTTCACTGAGTAAAGGTGAAAAAACGTGAGAAGGAAGAAGAAAGGCTAAATCTAATTAGCTATTTTTATTTTTACCAGAAAAGTTGTAGACTAGGTATTTAGAGAGTTAAAAGAAAAAAACCCATGCAATTATCATTTAAATCTGTTTTTACCAAAGCCATGCCTCTTGCCATTATTTCTGGCTAACTGAGAGCTGGCCATACAAAATGGATGTTTTTGGTTTTGTTTTGTATTTGATTTTGTTGAAAAATCAAATACAGGAGATAAAAAAATGCCACCACAAAGTTTGTTTATATCTTCATTTCACTTAAATTGAGTAGATGAAATGGAATCTGGCCTTTTTCATATTGTTTATGTTCTGCTTTGCTTCTTGGTTCTGGGGCAGGATTTCTAGTTGTGTTTGAATTTGTTTTCCTCTCAAGTATCATTTGCAAAATTAGTGTGGAAATTAATAAACTCTTTCTATTCAATAAGTGTTGTAATTTTCCTAATATGACATAATATGCTGTTTCATTAGCATAATAAAATTCAAATATGTGCTCATTTAGCCTTATTCTACTGTTGTTGTTTTTTTTAAGTCTAGAAGGAAGAAAGATTGCCTTGCATAAGTAACCAATATAACCTTTATTAACTTTGATTTTAGGTTCAGGGGTACATATACAGGTTTGTTATTTAGGAAAATTGCAGGAGTTTGGTGTACAGATTATTTCATCACCTAGGTAATAAGCATAGTATTTTTTGACCAGGAAGGTGAAAGATCTCCACAACAAGAATTACAAAACACTGCTCAAAGAAATCAGAGATGACACAAACAAATGGAAAAACATTCTATGCTCATAGATAGGAAGAATCAATATTGTTAAAATGGCCATAATACCCAAAGCATTAATAAATTCAGTGCTATTCCTAATAAGCTATAAATGACATTCTTCATAGAATTAGAAAAAATATGCTAAAATTCATATGGGACCAAAAAAGAGTCTGAATAGCCAGAGCAATCCTAGTTAAAAAGAGCAAAGCTGGAGGCATCCCATTACCTGACTTTACTGTGAGGACACAGTAACTAAAACAGCATGGTACTGGTACAAAAACAGATACATAGACCAATGGAACAGAATAGAGAGCCCAGAAATCAGGCCACATACCTACAACCATCTGATCTTCAACAAAATTGGCAAAAACAAGCAGTGGGAAAAGGACACCCTATTCAATAAGTAGTACAGGGATAATTGGCTAGCCATATGCAAAAGATTGAAATTGGATCCCATCTTTATACCATATAGAAAAATCAACTCAAGATGGATTAAAGACTTAAATGAGAAACCTAAAATTGTAAAGACCCTGGAAGATAACCTAGGCAATACCATTCCAAACATAGAGTTGGGCAAAGATTTCATGATGAAGACTTCAAAAGCAATTGCAAGTAAAAACAAAAATTGATAAATGGGACCTAATTAAACTAAGGAGCTTCTACACAGCAAAAGAAACTATCAGCAGTAAACAGAATAGGAGAAAATATTTGCAAACTGTACATGTGACAAAGATCTGATATCCAGAATCCATAAGGAAATTAAACAAATTCACAAGCAACAAACAAACCAACCAACCCATTAAACCCCTGGGCAAAGGACATGAATGGACACATTTTAAGAGAAGACACTGTAGGAGTCAGTTCCGCGGTAGAGGTAACCTAACGCTCTGAGGCTCATTTTGCAGGCGTTGAAATTGTCCTCACAGTTTTCAGTCGTGTCTGAACCAATCAGAGTCCTTGTGACTGGAGCGGCTGGTCAGATTGCATATTCACTGCTGTGCAGTATTGGAAATGGATCTGTCTTTGGTAAAGACCAGCCTATAATTCTTGTGCTGTTGGATATCACCCCCATGATGGGTGTCCTGGACGGTGTCCTAATGGAACTTCAAGACTGTGCCCTTCCCCTCCTGAAAGATGTCATCACAACAGATAAAGAAGAGGTTGCCTTCAAAGACGTGGATGTGGCCATTCTCGTAGGCTCCATGCCAAGAAGGGAGGGCATAGAGAGAAAAGATTTACTGAAAGCAAACGTGAAAATCTTCAAATCCCAGGGTGCAGCCTTGGATAAATATGCAAAGAAGTCAGTTAAGGTTATTGTTGTGGGTAATCCAGCCAATACCAACTGCCTGACTGCCTCCATGTCAGCTCCATCCATCCCCAAGGAGAACTTCAGTTGTTTGACCCGTTTGGATCACAACTGAGCTAAAGCTCAAATTGCTCTTAAACTTGGTGTGACTGCTAATGATGTAAAGAATGTCATTATCTGGGGAAACCATTCCTCAACTCAGTATCCAGATGTCAACCATGCCAAGGTGAAATTGCAAGGAAAGGAAGTTGGTGTTTATGAAGCTCTGAAAGATGACAATTGGCTCAAGGGAGAATTTGTCACAACTGTGCAGCAGTGTGGCACTGCTGTCATCAAGGCTCAAAAACTATCCAGTGCAATGTCTGCTGCAACAGCCATCTGTGACCACGTCAGGGACATCTGGTTTGGAACCCCAGAGGGTGAGTTTGTGTCCATGGGTGTTATCTCTGATGGTAACTCCTTTGGTGTTCCTGATGATCTGCTCTACTCATTCCCTGCTGTAATCAAGAATAAGACCTGGAAGTTTGTTGAAGGTCTCCCTATTAATGATTTCTCACATAAGAAGATAGATCTTACTGCAAAGGAACTGACAGAAGAAAAAGAAACTGCTTTTGAATTTCTTTCATCTGCCTGACTAGACAATAATATTACGAAGCGCCTCAAAGCTGAAGAATCTAAATGTTGTCTTTGACTCAAGTACCAAATGATAATAATGCTATACTTAAATTACTTGTGAAAAACAACACATTTTAAAAATTATGTGCTTCCTGTTACAGGTTTGTGAATGACAATTTATCATCATGCTGGCATTCTAAATAAATATATATTTGAATGAAAAAAAGAGAAGACACTGTAATACTTAAAATGAAGGCTCATTTGAGTATCTCATTCTTTTCTTTTTCTTTTTTTTTGTTTTTGAAGTGGAGACTCCCTCTTTCACCAAGGCTGAAGTCCAATGGTGCAATCTCGGCTCACTGTAACCTCTGCCTTCTGGGTTCAAGCAATTCTCCTGCCTCGACTACCTGAGTAGCAGGGATTACAGGCACATACCACCACTCCCGGCTAATTTTTGTATTCCTAGTAGAGACAGGGTTTCACCATGTTGGCCAGGCTGGTCTCGAACTCCTGACCCCAGGTGATCTGCCCACTTCAGCCTCCCGAAGTGCTGTGTTTACAGGCTTGAGCTATCATGCCCAGCCATCTCATTCATTTTCATCTCAATATACGGGCAGAGTTAGATGCTTGATCTATGTTTCATTTGTCTGTTATAAAAGGACCTATGTAAATAAAGTACAAAAAAAGTGACTAAAATTGTTTTAACGAAACTGTTACATATAAATAATGTCATTGTGTGTGTGTGTGTGTGTGTGTGCGCGTGTGCACACGTGCCCTGATGAGTAGCTTCTGGTTATTGTTTCAGCCATTTTTTTTTAATTGCATTTTAGGTTTTGGGGTACAAGTGAAGAACATGCAAGATTGTTGCATAGGTACACACATGGCAGTGTGATTTACTGCCTTCCTCCCCGTCACCTATGTCTGGCATTTCTCCCCATGCTATCTCTCCCCAACTCCCCACCCCCTGCAGTCCCTCCCCTATTTCCTCCCCAACAGACCCCAGTGTATGATGCTCCCCTCCCTGTGTCCATGTGTTCTCATTGTTCAACACCCACCTATGAGTGAGAACATGTGGTGTTTGATTTTCTGTTCTTGCATCAGTTTGCTGAGAATGATGGTTTCCAGGTTCATCCATGTCCCTACAAAGGACATGAACTCATCGTTTTTGGTGACTGCATAATATTCCATGGTGTATATGTGCCACATTCTCCCTGTCCAGTCTATCATCAGTGGACATTTGGGTTGGTTCCAGGTCTTTGCTATTGTGAACAGTGCTGCAATGAACATTCGTATGCATGTGTCCTTATAGTAGAGTGATTTATAGTCCTTTGGATATATACCCAGTAATGGGATTGTCGGGTCAAATGGATTTCTATTTCTAGGTCCTTGAGGAATCGCCACACTGTCTTCCACAATGGTTTAACTAATTTACACTCCCACCAACAGTGTAAAAGTGTTCCTATTTCTCCACATCGTCTCCAGCATCTGTTGTGTCCAGATTTTTTAATGATTGCCATTCTAACTGGCATAAGATGGTATCTCAATGTAGTTTTGATTTGCATTTCTCTAATAACCAGTGAGGATGAGCATTTTATCATATGTTTTTTGGCCTCATGTATGTCTTCTTTTGTAAAGTGTCTGTTCATATCCTTTGCCCACTTTTGAATGGGCTTGTTTGTTTTTTTTCTTGTAAATCTGTTTTAGTTCTTTGTAGATTCTGGATATCAGCCCTTTGTCAGATGGGTAGACTGCAAAAATTTTTTCCCATTCTGTTGGTTGCCGATTCACCCTAATAACTGTTTCTTTTGCTGTGCAGAAGCTGTGGAGTTTGATTAGGTCCCATTTGTCTATTTTGGCTTTTGTTGCCAATGCTTTTGGTGTTTTGGTCACGAAGTCCTTGCCTACACCTATGTCCTGAATGGTTTTGCCTAGGTTTTCTTCTAGGGTTTTTATGGTGTTAGGTCTTATGTTTAAGTCTTTCATCCATGTGGAGTTAATTTTAGTGTAAGGTGTCTGGAGTAGGTCCAGTTTCTGCTTTCTGCACATGGCTAGCCAGTTTTCCCAACACCATTTATTAAACAGGGACTCCTTTCCCCATTGCTTGTTTTTGTCAGGTTTGTCAAAGATCGGATGGTTGCAGATGTGTGGTGTTGCCTTCGAGGCCTCTGTTCTTTTCCATTGGTGTATATCTCTGTTTTGGTACCAGTACCGTGCTGTTTTGATTACTGTAGCCTTGTAGTATAGTTTGAAGTCTGGTAGTGTGATGCCTCCCGCTTTGTTCTTTTTGCTTAGAATTGACTTGGCTATGCAGGCTCTCTTTTGGTTCCATATGAAGTTTAAGGTGGTTTTTTCCAGTTCTGTTAAGGAAGGACATTGGTAGCTTGATGGGGTAGCGTTGAATCTGTAAATTACTTTGGGCAGTATGGCCATATTCACGATATTGATTCTTCCTGACCATGAACATGGAATATTTTGCCATCTGTTTGTGTCCGCTCTTACTTCGTTGAGCAGTGGTTTGTAGTTCTCCTTGAAGAGGTCCTTTACATCCTTTGTTAGTTGTATTCCTAGGTATTTTATTCTCTTTGTAGCAATTGTGAATGGCAGTTCATTCTTGATTTGGCTGTCTTTAAGTCTGTTATTGGCATATAGGAATGCTTGTGATTTTTGCACACTGACTTTGTATCCTGAGACTTTGCTGAAGTTGCTTATCAGTTTCAGGAGATTTTGGGCTGAGACAATAGGGTCTTCTAAATATACAGTCATGTCGTCTGCAATTAGAGACAATTTGACTTCCTCCTTTCCTAATTGAATACCCTTTATTTCTTTTTCTTGCCTGATTGCTCTGGCCAGAACTTCCAATACTATATTAAATAAGAGTGGTGAGAGAGGGCATCTTTGTCTAGTGCCAGATTTCAAAGGGAATGCTTCCAGTTTTTGCCCATTCAATGTGATATTGGCTGTGGGTTTGTCATAAATAGCTTTTATTATTTTGAGATATGTTCTGTCAATACCTAGTTTATTGAGAGTTTTTAGCATGAAGGGCTGTTGAATTTTGTCAAAGGCCTTCTCTGCATCAATTGAGATAATCATGTGGTTTTTGTCTTTGGTTCTGTTTATGTGGTGAATTACGTATATAGACTTGCGTATGTTGAACCAGTCCCTGGGATGAAGCCTACTTGATCATGGTGGATAAGCTATTTTAAATTTATTTCTTTAAGCGTTCACCATGTTGGTCAGGTTGGTCTTGAACTCCTGACCTCAGGTGATCCGCCTGCCTTGGCCTCCAAAGTGCTTGGATTACTGGCATGAGCCACCACGCCTGGCCGGTGGATAAGCTTTTTGATGTGCTGTTTAATTTGTTTAATTCGCTTTGCCAGTATTTTATTGAAGATTTTTGCATCTGTGTTCATCATGGATATTGGCCTGAAGTTTTCTTGCTGAGTCTCTGCCGGGCTTTGGTATCAGGATGATGTTGGTATCAGGATGATGTTGGTATCATAAAATGATTTGGGAAGGATTCCCTCTTTTTGGATTGTTTGGAATAGTTTCAGAAGGAATGGTACCAGCTCCTCTTTGTATGTCTGGTAGAATTCGTCTGTGAACCCATCTGGACCTGGGCTTTTTTTGGGTGGTAGGCTCTTAATTGCTGCCTCAACTTCAGACCTTGTTATTGGTCTGTTCAGGGTTTCAACTTCTTCCTGGTTTAGGCTTGGGAGGATGCAAGTGTCCAGGAATTTATCCATTTTTTCCAGGTTTACTAGTTTATGTGCATAGAGTAGTTTGTAATAATCTCTGATGATGGTTTGTATTTCTGTGGAATCTGTGGTGATATCCCCTTTATTGTTTTTTATTGCATCTATTTGATTATTCTCTTTTCTTATTAATCTGGCCAGTGCTCTGTTTTGTTGATCTTTTTGAAAAACCAGCTCATTCTGTTGGAAAATACTAGGTTCTTTATTAGATGAAGTTAGTCAGTCTGAAATAACAGTCTGTAGCTGTTTGATTACCTATTATTGTCCCTAAACTTTCTGGCTTAACACAACCACCATTTCTTTATTTCTCATGATGTGTGTATTAACTGAGTTTGGTGTGCACAGTTCTTTTGCAGTCATGCCTGGAGATTCTCATGTGACTGCAACAGATGGTAGCTTGATTTTATCTCCATGGTGGCTTTACTCTCATGGTTCATGCCTTTGTGCAGACAACTAGAAGGCTGAGCTCAGCTGGTATGCTGGGATGCTTTGGTCTTGCTCTTCTCTGAGGGAGTATTGGAGATTCTCTGTATCTAACATGACCTTTCCAGCAAAGTAGCTGAATTTTTTTATGTAGTAACTCAGGACACTCAAAAGTGCAAATGTGAAAGCTGCCCAGCCTTCTTAGGGTTTAAGCCTGAGCTGATACTGTGTTTATTAGTGAATCACAGGGCCAATCCATATGCAGTGTAGGAGGGAGTCACCTTAGGGAATGAACACTAGCAGCTTTGTTCACTGAGGGCCATCTTTGGAAACTAGCAACTGTAGTAATTATTTTTTGGAGTAACATTTCTCCTTTGGAGAATCATCCTGGATTTGTGGGTTATCTCCCTAGAAACATGGAAGTGAAGATAATTACCTGCATAAGTGCACACACAGTTCTAAAATGTCATGGTATTCTTTATCATGGATTGTCAAACTCATAAAATTTAGAAGTTTGTTAACTCCTTCATTAGTGATTTAAATGACTTTATTGTTTTACAACAGTTGCACAGAATTCTGTTGTATAATTGTTCTATCCCCTTAAAATGACAATTGGGTTGTTTCCTAGTTCTTGGTTTTTAAATTTTTATTTATTTATTTTGCTATTTTAATAGCAGTGATTTTCTTTTGCATAGCTTTTGTGTATGCATCTATTTCCTTACCATAAATTCCTGGAAGCATACTTTCTGTCTCAAAAGGAGTGGCTATTTTAAAAGATTTTGGTAGATATCAACTAACTTCCCTGTTTTCTTTTAGAGATTTTACAGTTTTAGTTCTTGTGTTTAAATCTTCATTTGAGTTGACTTTTGTATATAGTATAAGGATCCAGTTTTTTTGTGGGTGTGTTTAAGATAGATACTTTTTTCATTATTATGAAGTATTTTTAAATTGCATTATTGGTTATACAT